CTGAGGACCAATAAGAAATCACAGTCTCTCCACTTAATTGCTGCTATGGAAAATTCAGGAAAACATTTCAACCTGAAATGCTAATGTTCTTCCAGCCCTGCCTGTGTCTGCACACACACTAATCACTTACAGCAGTTAGAAAGGAGGATGGAAGTTTTCTACCCTGCACTGATAAGATCTAAATTGGCAATTTATTTAAAAACTGTTATTTGGACCAGATTCAGTGCCTACTCAAAGAAGTGTGTCAGGATCAGAGAATATGAATAACACGAACAATAATGACTGAGTGGCTTTTATTATAGGTATTTTATTGTGTATAATGCTTTCTGAAGCTGAAATATAAAAGACAACAAAATCCATTATTCATGCTTTTCCCATATTCATAGAGCTATGACTATAATGAAAGTTTGTCTTCTGCCACAGGCATAACTCTGAGCCCCTCAATAATAAAACAAATGTTTTCTATGACCAGGGGATTTATATGCAAAATCATCTTCACAATGCAAACTTTGTCTGAAAAAACAAGGCTCTCGTTTTTAAAGGAACCTTGCTTTATTGCCAAGGGCATTGTGTTGTTCACTGACATTTATATCAGATGCAAATTAGGAAACTTAATTATAAAATGATACTAATTCTCTATAAGTATTTTGATCAATTTATAGTCATTCATTTTTAAAAAGTACATAGAGAAACTCTCTTTCAGTGAGCCAAGATCAGATCATTCTGGGATGCACAATGAAAAATATGGAAAGTATTGTTCTGCTTAGCTAGTCAGCTGGTTAGACTGTTTTAAGCACGGGCAAATAGAAACTCAATTGAACTGCTGAATTAAGTACTATGTGTTTTCATTTAATTATGTTTAGGAAACGTGTTAAAATACCAGTGGATAGGATAGCTCTCCTTTAATTGATCCACTGTTTTGAAGTAGCTGTTGTCTGGTAGAACACAATGTTCTAGGTGATAAAACCTAATAAATAATAGCCTGGAGAGAACAGACTCATCTTTCAATGGAAAACATTATCAGTACAATTTTTATTGTATGTCTATGGCATTTTGGAATTGTCCAACTTTAATGATGTAGGAAAACCCCTGGCTACTACAAAAACATCAGGATTTCATGAAGCCAGTAGATGATCTAATACATAAGAGAAAAACTCAAATCTATTCAAGGTGGGGGTCGAATGGGGAAAAGGGAGGAGGGGGGTTATGGTGTATGGCACACCTCTTGGGGGCGAGACACAATTATAAGAGGGACTTTACCTAACAAATGCAAACAGTATGGTCTAATTCTTTGTACCCTCAATGAACCTAAAACAATAAAAAATTTAAAAAATCAGAATTTCAGAAGTAGATAAAATTGTTAAGTTGCTCATATACATAATCACTTAGTAAACTGAGTCTGCTCATCACTTCTCTTCTGCCAGTGAGCTGGGAGCCAGATGGAATGCGATTCTAGAGGCGGGAACATAGCAGTGGGTCCCCAGGCCACCGAGTTTGCAGTGCTCAGTTCTGTCGTGGGTAGTAAGGATTGATACAAGGCGGGTACAAGACATGTGATCCTTCTAAGAATGGTATCCACCATCCATGTGTGACACTAGTTTGGAGACTAGATTACAAGTTTATTTACTTAAAAATAAGCGAGATAGTTAAACTTTATTAAAGTATCTGACCTCACTTAGAAAACTAGTATATCATTTATGCTAATAGTAAATGTGGTTATCCATCACTGTTAGGTACTTTCTAAGGGAAAAAAATAACCTCTGGCCATCTTCACCAAATTGTACACTGACCCACTTAAAGTTGTCGAAATTGACTCTTCAAACCCCAGACTGTGCCATCAAACAGCTCCTGAGCTGCTGAGTAAAGGGGATGAACGTGTGTTCACTCAAACACACACCTGTGCACTCTGTCATGAATTTACACAGGTATGAAATGAGTAGATAAAAGAACTCAAATGTTGTTTAATCACTGCAGCTACCACGCCTAGAATTATAAAGTTGACAGCTTAAAAATAACCGGATCCCATCTCTTAATTGTATAGATGAAGAAATCAATGCCCTTACCAAAAATTATAAAATTAGTAAGAGGTGGAGACAGGATTACAAGTTGGCTCACACGTACGGTGTGCTCCACAGTTGTCTGTTGAGCTAAGTACAGCACATCCATTCTCCAGCAGTCAGTCACGCCATTGAGACCCTGGCTTGAACTTCCTTGAACTTTTATTTTGAAGTAGAAATTGCCTTAACTCCAGGCAAACTAAACTAAAAAGTAATTGCTTAATGTCTGTTCTTCAGTTGAATTCAATTAGAGACAGAGACTTCTCTGAGCTGTGAGAAAGGTGACTATAGGTCAGGATAGGTGTGGGGGTCCAGAAGAAAGTAGCTCTTTCACCCAGTAAGTAAATCAGGCACCGGGGCAAAAGCCCTGCCAGAGAAATGGCCGCAGGGGAAGAGTACAGAGCAGCCGGAGAAAGAGGCACCCTGAGGGCCTCCACCTTCCCCTGGGGTGAAACATTGAGTCAAATCTGCAAGGACCTGGAGACTCTGCCTGGCCTAGTGAGTTGTCTTTGCCACTGAGTATCAGCCCAAAGTCCAAGTAGCTTGGCTGAACATCCACCAACCTTAGCATTGTCGCCTACACTGATTCTCAGAACAAATTTAAGAAAAGTCCCAAGGGAATATCCAAAGGAAGGAGTTTGTAAAGACATCTCTAAGAATCTCTAAGCATAAAAACCTAACCCTGTTTCATGATGGTGATGACTAGCAGGAGGAGTACTAAGGGCCTTGTAGCTACTGCCACGTGATAAATACAATTAAGTCCTTAACACCCCAGAAATAATTTCATTCTTGACTCCTTAACCTCCCTATTTATATGTGAGTGTAAATGGTACCTAGGATACTTCTATGCCAGGGATTAAAGCATGGAGTGATTACTTACTGGTCAACAAAGTTAAAATATCTGTTTAAAATAATGACAATAGGAAGAAGCTAGTGTAAACACTATGACATTGCCCCTCTCACCTCTACTCCCTCCTCTGACCTGACTCCAGCCACACTGACCACCTGGATATTCTTTGAACATGTCAAGATAGAAAGAAGAAGAGGCCAGAGCCTTTGCGTTGTTTGTTGTCTCTGCCTGGAATATTTCCCCTCATTTGTCTGTAAGGCTACCTCTCTCATCCTCTTTAATTCTCCTCCGCAGGGAGCCTGCCCTGAGCTCTCTGCTCCCGGTTGGATCCTCCTCCCCTGCAGTCAAGACTCCCTACCTGATCATGCTTGCTCATTTATTTTCCTGTAGCACGTTTTTTAACTCCCAGTGTAAAAGATCATTTACTTAGGTGTATTGTCTGTTTCCCCCACTAAAACATATAAACGCCACACAAAGGCAGGAATCTTTGTCTAGTTTGTTTACTGATTTGTCCCCAAAGTTTAGAAGAGTGTCTGGAACATAGGAAATGTTCAATGAATATTTTTAATGAATAAATGAGTTTGTTAATCTTGACTTCCCAAGATATAAATTTAGGAAAAATTCCCCTAGCATTAAAAATTCCCCTAGCATGTTGCCTTTTCTCATTGTCAGGATCTTGTCCTATGTCAGTTGTGATAGCTTTTAATTCTGGCTAGTTTGTTTCTCTCTAGATCAATAGTCTGCTGGGGAATTGTTCTTTCCTCCAAAAGCTTCAAATAGAGAAACATTTCAGGGCCAATGTTGGCATTTAAGTTCCAGAGAAATTCAGGTTTTCTCTGGAAGATATATAGATTAGGTAAAAATTAAAATATCAGTAACAGAGACTACATTTTTAAGCAATGGAAATTCCATAGGACAACCAACCGTGTCCAGATGGTCAAGAGCTAATATCTTAGGAAGATGATCTTTTAACTTGGGCCAAGAAGAAGCTTGAAGCTGACCAAAATAAAGATGGATAAAATCTGCTATTATTGCTGCCAAATATTTATTTTTCCAATGACTATGGACAGATAGTGACAAAAATTAGGGGCTCGTTTGTGTAGGAAGACCTGCCAGAAAAGCCAACATGGTAGGTCTCTTATTTTAGCGTCCCAACAGGCATATTCCAGGAGAAGGATGTTAACACTAAGATGCACATTCCTAGAAATGTGAGATGACAGAAAGTAATCACCACCTGTCTTACTCCATTTGGGCCACTGAACAAAATACTATAGAGAAGGAAGTTTGAAAACAATGGCCCTGACAGATTTGACTTCTATGAGGCCCATTTGCTGGTTCTACCTAAGTCCTCGTGTGGTGGAAGGGCAAAGCAGCTCTCTGGGGCCACCTTTTTAGGGGTATTGATCCCTTTCATAAGGGTTCTGGTCTCATAACCTAATCATACCCTGAAGACCTCACCTCCTAATACCATTAGTGGGCACATTAGGACCTTAACACATGCATTTGGGAAGGGGGACACAAAGATTCAGACAACAGCACCCCGTTAAGCCTTACTATGTGGCTTATGAGGCTGTCTGTAGCCTCTTAGGTCTCAGAGACATACAAGGTCCATTTCCTCTGACCGTAGCCTGTGTCCCTTCAGAGATATCACAGTGTGGTCAAAAACACAACCTATACCTTTCAAAGGCCCAGGCACTGGTAGTGAGAGAAGTGCTCCACTTGGATCAGCACAGAGGCCCCAAAGATCTTCCTCAAGTTCAAGTCTGAGTAGTGCCTTTCTTGGCCTGAAATCTTGCACTGATTGCTCCATAGCTTCAAATTCTGTGGCTTAATGCAAAACACCCTTTATAGTTTGATTGGTCTTTGTCCCGGCATTGATCACTTTCTCTAAAGTCACTGGTGTCTCCTGGGTATCGTTTCCAATATATGGAGGACTCCAGAGAATAAAAATTATTCCTTACTCAATTTAGTGTCCTCAGTGTGAAGCTCGTTGGGGGGGGGGGTCTTAGCAAATCTTGGCTCAGTGGTTGAGTGGATCAATAGAAATGTGATGTTCCTAAGTCCTAATGTGGCTATTTTTTTTCTTTCCCCAGGACTTTGGTGTTATGTTCCTACACCACTTTGTAAGTATTTCCTTGCTTTCCTTTTCATATGTCAACAATATGGCCCGAGTGGGGACCCTGATCCTTTGTCTTCACGATTCAGCCGATGCTTTTCTAGAGGTAAAAGTTTTCTTTCTTCTTCAAGAATACAAAATCCAGAACTCAGAGAGTCCCCAGTATTGTCATTTCTTTAGCATTATGCTAGGTGGTGCTTGGGGACGATAGTGGGTGACTGTTTTAAAACTGCAGAGTGTTTCTTTGTAGATTAAATCGGTGAAAATGAGACTAAGTTATTATGTAAACTTTTATACAAAAAAGGTTCATAAAGTAATGAAAACCTTTATAATTCCAAAGAAAATTATTATCTGAATGAGTTTTGTCTCTTGTGTTATAAGTTTCACTCTGATTTGGGGGAAAATTTTATATTAGTCGGGTTAGTTACTAATGGGAGCTATAATGTGCCAGTGAAATTCAGTAGTAGTCATAGTTTTTACTGCCAATACTGCCAATGAGAAGGGATGTGAATTGTAAATTATAAAAGAAGCTATTTCTTGTGTCTATGCATATAAAGAATATCTGTGGAAATACCGGTTGTACTTTAATGAACTTTCTAAACAATCATCATTTAGAATTCTTAAAGTAGTAAAATAAATAAAAATGCTCTAGCATATTTTAAAGGTAAAATTCTAAGGACATTTTTGATGTGGTAGTTACTAATAATTATGGTTCCTGTGAAGAATCACGTTCAATAATGTTATATCAATAAATCAGTCTTTTCACTTTGTACTAGGAAATTTATATAACTGGTCAAAATTAACTTATAAGGATACAAAATGGGTCTTAGAATCTGTATTCTGATTTTTTAAAAAATTTCTTTCAGCCCATAGTTTCTCCACCTTTGAAGCATTTATTGTTAGTGTGATTATACAATCATGTGCTCTCAATAATGATCTACTATTACAATACCAGTAGAAATTCTGTGCCATAAAATTGAATCTACTATAAAAGAAATAAGGTTTGAAGTATGCACAGTACTTTATTAAAAATCCTGGTCCTTTAATGTTATGAAACAGGAAAATAGCCCTAATAGGCTAGATAATTCAAATAATAATTTCACACTAGGATTTTTAAGTAATTCAGGCTAAAAACTATTCAGCCTATTTAAGGAGAAATATAATTAGTATAGGGGCAGTCTCCTGGAAATCATTACCATTTGGTTTAATCTTAAGTATGCTTGGAAGTAGAAATTTATGCAGCCACCTACAGTTCTGAAATCAATCCTGTATCATCAGCCAACTTTAATGCTGATGAAAATAAATGGCTGGCATGGTGCTCAGTAGTGCTGAGATTTAGAAAATTTTGACTGAATCGTCATCTATAACGTTTGTCCTGAAAAGAAAGATAATCCAGAAATTCCCATCATGTGGCTTAAAAACAGATATTCTTCATCACCTGGATTCTCATTAACATTATAAAATAAATGATACTTGAGAAACTCAGTTAATGAGATGGTATATCAGTTGTCAGCTCCTCCAAATGGGCTCTATAGCCCAGACATTTCTGAAAAGTTGATGTTTAATGCTCATCGATTGAATGCTGATGAATGAATTTTGTAAAAGAAAAACTACATGGTTTTCCTAGCCAGAAGAAGGCAGAAGGTGCTTTTTCTTTTAATATAATTCATGATGTTATACCCAAAGTATTCATGAAATTAAGAGTTCGTAATCCTGGCTTCCACTCAGTCCCTAGATACTTCCTTTACAAATATGTTTCTCTCCTAGCTCTGTGCTTTACTTAAAGCTACTAAAGCATAGCGTCTTGGGTACTCTTAACAGTGTTTTCAAGTTTAATTCAGCTAATTGAACTTTCTAAGAAGTAGAAAATCAGGCGAAGAATTCAGAAGACATCATCAGTTTATAACCCTGTGTGTATAGGCCGTGAATTCTGTGTGAAAATGTAAAGAGGGGATGAAGCAAAGCTGTTTTCGGTCTCACCTGTTTTCACCTAGGATTACCTATAAAAAGTCGATCATAGAGAAAAGGATGCGATTTCTTCCCTAGACTGATGTATCATATAAAAATAGTCACTTAAATCACTGTCATAAATTATTAGAGTACTTCTCACCGACACTTTGAACATTAGTGACTTTCATCTAGGAAATAACCCATTAATGTGACTTTGAAATTTCTGCTATCTAAGTGGATTAGCTGAAATAACATGATTGATCTTTATTCTCACTCATATGTGGGAACTAAATATTAAAAGTAATTGATCTCATGGAGACAGAGTAGAATGATGGTTAACCAGAGGCTGGGAAGGGTAATGGGAGGTGGAGGATAAAGTAGGGATGGTTAATGGGTGTGCAAATATAGTTCGATAGAATGAACAATATTTGATAGACCAGCAAAGTGACTATAATGACCAGTAAGTTAGGGTGAACTTGAAGATAACTAAGAGTGGAATTGGAAGGTTCTGAATACGAAGAAATGATAAACGTCTGAGGTGATGGATACCCGAATCACTTGACTTGATTAATTCACACTGTATGCCTGTATCAAAACTTCATATATGCCCTGTAAAGATACGCAACTACAACGTATCCAAAAAAAATTTACAAAAAACAAAACAAAACATGATCTCGACACTTCTTTCTTCTCTAAATGTGTGAGTATAAGCCAGAAAACTGTGCCCCAGAGTAGTCCCTGTTAAAAGAAAACTTAGAATTCTAAGCAGAAAGGAAGAAAAATGCAGAAAGTGTCCATATATTCCATATAAAGTTTATGGCCTTAATATTGGAGATTCATTAAAGATTTAAAGGATTATCTAGTGCTTCCTATTTGGACCTGTTATGGTAAATTTCGGTGTTGGTGTCTCCGGCCTGCTAATATCATCTATAATGCAAGAATTTCTTATTTTTCTCTCTGTTTTTCTGAAATCAACCATAAAATTGAATTTTTCAGGTTGCTGAATATT